TAATTGGCTAGGTAGAGAAGTTGTAAAGTAAAAGGAAGAACTTTAGGTGATTCCAAACTCCAAGTCACCGTGCATTTGGGATTTATTGTCTCATGGAAAGATTGCACTGTGGGATGCTGGGATTGACTGAATTGTAATTTCTTTATTCTCATCTCCAGTTCCTACGTCTGTTTTCTTTCCCTGAAGGGTGTTCTGAACAAGCTATAGGAGATAGTAGGTGAAAGGCTTTAAAGCAGCAGTTCTCAATCTGTGGGTCATGACCTACAGGAACTGTATTAAAGGGCTGCGGCATTAGGAAGGTTGAGAACCTCTGCTTTAACGTAAGATCTAGTTGCCAGAGAGTTCAGACTTGGATGGGCAGGTATTTCCGTCCAATAAGCTGAAGCAGGAAAGGGGACCTTAGCTAGAGGTCTGGGCAGTGAGGATATCTCAAACACATAAAGCCTGGCTCCTGGGCCTTGACTGCTGATAAAGTTTCCTTCCTGCACAACCTGTGAGTAATCCATTCAAACACTATTCAGCAGGCCAAGTCTTTGAAAAATAGCACTCATCTTTCCTTTTATCAAGTGCAGGATTCACCCCTTCCTCCCCCATGAATCAGGCCCTCTTTTCTTGAAAGGAACACTGTGAGCATGAGCCTTGTTTTCATAATTTATGCTATTGGTCTTCATTCATTCTTTAAGTCAGATTGATGAATCATGGCAGATGTCCTGAGAGAAAGATTCTCTTAAGCCTCTGTGGGTACTCCCACCCCACTCTGTCTGCTTATTTAATTCCCCTTATACAACAGTTTGGAGGAACAGGACTCAGGAGTTCCTGGTCTCGGATACTCTCTAGCCTGAATCTTCTTAGAGCAAGAGTCTCACTCAAAGTCTCCTGCCTGTCCCTGAGAGATGGGTGCTGGTGAGAGAAGGGGGCTGGGAGGAGAGAATGCTGGAGGCAGGCTGGAGGCAGGCCACAGGCCCCATCACACTGCCTGTTCTTACTTGTGCTGACTCCACTTCACACTGAAGCCTTCCAAACCTTTTCTCCTTATGTCTAATGGACCTTGGGGAGCAAAGGCAACCTGGGGCTTCTCACAGCAGAGGTTCTTAACCTGCATCTCATGGAGTTGTGACGGGTTGAGAATGACTGGATAATGTATAAAGACTTGTTTGTAGCTTACCCCAGAGGAGAGTTCAAAGCTTGCACCAGGTATTCTCAGAGGGGTTTTGACTCAACAAAGCTAAGGATCATTACCTTGTAAGGCTTTCAGAGAATCGGGGATATAGCAAGCCAAGAAAATAGCATCAGAAATTAGAGAAAGAATGTATCAGGAAGCAAACTCAGAGTGGCTGAATGGTGCCACAGTATCTTTGGGTCCAAAATTCTCTCAGCTTAGGTGAGATTATCTCTGAAATGGAAGAGAGGAGGGCAGAGTAAGATGGTCTCAGGAAGGTTCAATCAGGCAGGGTAGGCAGGAGGTGCAGAGTCCAATTCTCCTCAAATCTGAAACAGCTCACAAATTCTTTTGCCAGTTTGGAAATTCCTGAGTAGCTTCTCTCTAACCTAAGAGCTCTTTGAGGTTAGAACCCAGGGAGGAACCAGGAAGTCTGAAGCCTTCATTTTATTTTTATTTATTTATTTTACTCTGATGTCAAGAATCAGTCCAATGAAGCCTCCATGTCTAATCATGAGAGGTTCCTTTTCTGGAAGTTGGGTATTTCTGTTCAGTCTATCTGAGCCTTGGAATATCTATCCCTTTCTACTGGTCCCTGAGGCAGATGCAGTAAAAACATTGAGAGAGGGAGGGGTGACGCCATATACTGAGGGTGGTGGGTTCACACCTGGCCCTGGCCGAACTGCAACAAAAGATAACCAGGCGTTATGGTGGGTGTCTGTTGTCCCAGCTACTTGGGAGGATGCGACAAGAGAATCACCTAAGCCCGGAGTTGGAGGTTGCTTTGAGCTGTGATACCACAGCACTCTACTGAGGGTGATAAAGTGAGACTCTGTCTCTACAAAAACAAACGAACAAACAAACAAACAAAAAAACATTGAGAGAGGGGACTGAGAAGAAAAACAAGCAAAAAATTTGGACTTCCTAAGCTCTGTGCCCATAACACAGTGGTTGCCATGCTGGCCCCATGCACCGAGGCTGGGGGGTTTGAAGCTGGCCACGACAGCTGAACAACAATGACTTTCTGCAACAGTAAGTGGCCAGGAGTTGTGGGTGTCCAAAGTCCCAGCTACTTGGGAGGCTGAGGCATGAGAATCACTTAAGCCCAATAATTTGAGGTTGCTGTGAGCTGTGACACCACAGCACTCTACTGAGGGTGACACAATGAGACTCTGTCTCAAAAAAATAAAAAAAATTCTGACTTCCTGAATCAGGTGCATTAGAGGTATTGAAAGAAGGTGAGGATCAACAGTGGACCCTAGGACTCCTGAAAGTTCTGAATGAGTGGGGTAGAAGATTTCATCTTTTTTATAGGTCATGTCCTGCCCCTGAAAGGCCCTGAGAGAGGGAGTTATAAAAGGATAAGAGTGAGTGTAAAAGTGTGGTGGAAAGTAGTTCTGAGTCCAAACACCATTCCTTTACAAACTCAGCTCTGTTCCATCAAGCAGCTTAATCAATGTGACCTTCAGTTCCATCAGCTAAGATGCCTGCCTACCTTAGAGTGTTGATGTGAGGATTAAATAAGAAAACATATTGGGCTCAGCGCCTGTGGCTCAAGTGGCTAAGGAGCCAGCCACGTACACCTAAGGTGGTGAGTTCAAATCCAGCCTAGGCCTGCCAAACAACAATGATGGCTGCAACTAAAAACTGGCCAGGCGTTGTTGCGGGCGCCTATGGTCCCAGCTACTTGGGAGGTGGAGGCAAGAGACTCGTTTGAGCCCAGGAGTTGGAGGTTGCTGTGAGCTGTGATGCCACAGCACTGTACCCAGGGGGACAGCTTGAGGCTCTGTGTCAAAAAAAAAAAAAAGAAAACATATTGGCATGGAACAGGCCCTCAGTAAATGTTATATTCTCTCTCTGTTACTGTCCCACCCTGGGCAGAGTCTCCACTGGATGGCCCCTGGATGGGTACCACAAATCCCTGCACATGCACGTGGCCACAGAGCTCATGTGTACATACTACTGTTGCTGTTCTTAGCTGCATTTGCACATTCTTTGGCATACGTGCACACACCAGTCTGTATAGTCACAACTGAGCTGAGAGCAGCCCTCTCAGACAGGTTAGATAAGGGACTGGCTTGCTAACGACCAGACAAAACTTTGGAAGTGCCCATCATAGGAGCCTTGACATGGTAGCGGGCTTACCCCTGGAGGTGTTCTGGGAAAGCTGTGACAGATGTCTAAGGGTGGTAGTGGAGAGTAACTGCACAGGAATTTCCCTGAGATTAAATACAGGGTTTGGGGGGTACTGTGTCCACTACTGCCTAGGAGACCCTGGTCTATGTGTAGGGTCATGGTATTTGGAGCTTTGTTTTTCTTTGCAGTAGTCGTTGGCCATGTGTGATTTCTAGCCGCATGTGAAGGTGGATAGTGCAGCTGAGGAATAGAATTTTAAAGACATTTAGTTTTAATTCAGTGAAAAATTAAAATACTTGATTTTGTTATTGGACATGTTTTATGTTTGGGACAACTTGGATGTGTGAATTTTTTCAACAGTGAATTTTGTGAGTTCTAAATATAAATTTTCCAGTGAAAATTTAGTGACTGAATTTTTTTTCTTGTTTTTTTTTTTTAGAGGCAGAGTCTCACTTTATCGCCAGAGGGTCGTGGGGTCACAGCTCACAGGAACCTCCAACTCCTGGGGTTAGGCGATTCTCTTGCCTCAGCCTCCCGAGTAGCTGGGACTACAGGTGCCCGCCACAACGCCCGGCTATTTTTGTTGCAATTTGGCCAGGGCTGGGTTTGAACCGGCTACTCTTGGTATATGAGGCCGGCGCCCTGCCCCCTGAGCCACAGGAGCCACCCGAGGGGACCAATTTCTCAAGAACATGTTGTCCACCCTCACTCTGCCAAGTTCACGGCGGGCGCTGGTCTGGCCCTGAAGTCCGGCTTTGCCTCCCTAAGTGGAGCCGGCTCTGCTCCCCTGTCAGGGAGTCTGAGCTGGGAATCTTCTAAAGAGTGGAGTCTCTTTAGCAAGGACAATGGCAGCGGGAATGGGGAATCAGCTGGAGAGCTCTCAAAGCTTGATGCTTGCAGAGGGTTTGGTGTAGGGATGGGTTGGGGCTCCAGAGATTGCGGGAAGCAAAGGATGCTGGGTGGACGCTGCTGCGGAGAGAGGGGAGAGAGGCTCGGCGGGCCTGGTCCTCTCCACCTCCCTCTGCACCTCCCACTCCACCTCCTGCTCCTCCCCATGTCACTCCTCTCCTCCAAGATGCTGAGACTGTCTCCCTGCCCCTCCAGCTTCTGACGTCTCTACTTTTGGGGCTTTGCTCCTCCCTCTACTTGAAACACCACTCAGCAAGTCAGGGACCTCTCTATCCAGGGGCAGCTTCCCGCTGGCTGCACTGAGCACAGAGCAAGGAGAAGCACCGAGCTGGTGGGGAGGAACCAGGGCATTAATTACTCCCACCTTCCCTCCAGCTCTCATTGCAGTGCCCTCCTCCCTGGTCTCTTCAAGACTAGTCCCTGCTGTTCCTGGGTCTCTCTCCCTTGACAACTGCATTTTTTGCTTTTGCTAAACATTTTTTTTTTTTTTTGCAGTTTTTTTGGTGGGGGCTGGGTTAGAACCTGCTGCCACCACCTCCGGCATATGGGCCAGTGCCCTACCCCTTTGAGCCACAGGCGCTGCCCTTGCTAAACATTTTCTTGGAGTTCCTTTCTGGCTTTCTCCAGGACATTAGGGATCTGTGACACTGGGATGGTAGGGAGATCCTATGGGAGAAACAGGAAGAAGGGAAAGAGCTGGGTGTCCTCGGTTGGTATTTCTGCACAGGAATCCCTAGGAATGTGGAGGATCTCTCCTTCTCCAGCTCAGAGATGGAGCGTGAAAGGGTGAGGACAGAGACAAAACTGGGGCTGGGAGTGCTATTCCCCCGAAGCACTGCCAGGCCTCCCTACCCTGTATGCCAGGCTGGGTGTTGGGCAAGGCCTCTGGGATACATGGTCTGTGGATGAGCAGTCAGAAAGGGGAAAAACACAGAAATGAGGGGAGGAAATAGACTGAAGTAAAGACAACTCCAGACAACAAGCTTAGTTTTGGTTGCTACTGGTGTGGCCTCTGGCAGCAGGTTTAATGGTCTGACAGATAAGGGAAGGTGGTGGAGGCTCATGCAGACACAGTTCCAGTGTGTGATCTGTCCCCATCTTCGCTGTTGCCTGAGAATGCTTGGCTCTAATTCCTTGAGCAAGGGGCAAGTGTGGGGGTGGGGATGGGTAGTAAAGATAAAAGGCAGACTGCCTGGTTGAGGAACAGAGACCCCAGAGGCAGATGGCACTTCTCAGCCGTACCTCTAAAATAATCTTATAACTATGCTTGGCAAATGATATTGGTTATTAAAAGATGTGTGTGTGAGGAAAGACTAGCAGCCTGGAGTCTTGGTTGTGTTTCTTGCTCTATGTGTGTGGGGGTGTGTGGGGGGAACGTGGAGGGGTGAAGGAAGGCTAAAGGAGGGTTTGCATCTGCAGCTCCCTAGGATCCTCAGAGAAGAGACAACAGACTGGAAGAGGAAGGCAGATTCTCTGGCACGAGGGATCCCTAGTTGCTGGCACTGTGTAGGCAGGAGGTGTGGGAGATCTGTGCTGCCTGGGACTAGTTATAGTCCAAGTAGCCTTGTCTCTGTTTGCCCCATTTTTATCTGAAGCTGACTTGGCTGGGGCACTAGTGTGGAAGGAAAGGTTAGAAAAGCTTGGCGGTGACCCGATTACCCCCAGAGTTTTTATCCCCAGAAGGCCGAGGTGCCACAAAGTCAAAGGTCACGTGATGTCTGACCCGGCCCTTGCCTTTGCTCCAGAGGGCAATCAGGCCAAAGCAGAGAGTCACAGAGGTGAGGAAGGGGAGGAAACCAACTGCCAGTACCATGGCCAGGCCTCTGCTATCCAGAAAGAAGGGCCCTGGGATCCCTGGCATGGTCATGTTGAGGTTGGAGAGGGTGCCGTTTGGTGGTCCAACTTGGATTACTTCCAGCCAGGTCCTCAGGGAGTCATTCCCAGCTACATTGCTGACTACACAGACATAGGCCCCTCTGTCCCGCAGCTGCACAGAGCGGATCTCCAGTGCTCCATCCTCTAGGACCCTTACTCTCCCAGCCCTTCCCAGCCAAGCCCCTTGAGGCCTCATCCATGAGACAGTGGGGGCTGGGTCTCCATCTCCAGAGCAGGAGAAAACTGCACGCCCCCCTTCTCCCACAATGACCCATCGAGGCCCCGACTTTCGGACCAGGGCTGGTTTGCAAGTGAAGTGCCCTGGAGGGAGGATGTCTGAAAACTCGCTCAGGCGCCTCCCCTGGACGTGCTGGGGGCCCGCACAGGCTGGGGGGGACGCGCCAAAGTCCAGGTGGTGGCGGAGCCGGAGCAGCCAGAGGAGGCGGCAGTCACAAGTTAGAGGGTTGCCAGATAGCCTGAGGGTGACCAGCTTGTTTGGAGAAGGGAAGGCTGTTTCCTCCAGTGTCTGAAGGGCATTATCTGCCACATCCAGGAAGTGGAAGGCGGTCAGGCCATGGAAGGCATGGGCAGCAATTGAGGTGAGGCATGCTCCAGACAGCCGTAGCTCCTGGAGCCGCACCAGGGAGCTGAGCCTATGGGCTGGAATGGCAGAGATGGGGTTCTGAGATAGGTCCAGGATCCTGAGGAAGCTGAGGTGGTGTAGTGCTTGGAAGGGCACTGAGCTCAAGTTGCAGCGGGTAATGGCCAGGCTGCTGAGGTTGAGCCCGACCAAGCTCCCAGGGTCCAGGGCTTCTAGAGTTGGCCAGTGGTGGATCTCCAGCTCCTTCAGTTGCCCCAGCCCCCGTAGTGCCCCAGCTGGCAGCCTCCCAATGTCCAGTTCTCGCAGCCTAAGGGCCACTAAGGCAGGGAGGTGGGTAAGGGCCAGGCCAGGCACTGTGCTGAGGTTGCAGCGCTCCAGGGTGAGTGCGCTCAGCTTGGCCAGCCCTGCAAAGGCTCCTGGAGTCACAAACACCAGGTGGTTGTCCCCAACTTCCAGCTGCTGGAGGCTGCCTAGATCCCCAAAAGCTCCATCGAGGAAGAGGACAATCTGGTTGAGGCGGAGGTCCAGCAGTGTCAGTGCAGACAGGCCTGAGAAGACCCCCGGCCCTAAGATTCTGAGCCGATTGCCCTGCAGTCTCAGGGTGAGTAGGTGCTGCAGGCCATAGAAGGCCCCAGGCTCCAGGGCGGACAGCTGGTTGTAGCTGAGGTCCAGTTCCCGGAGCAGGCCCAGGCGGGACAGCATCCCCCGCTGAAGGCCCCACAGGCGGTTTCTGCTCAGGTCTAGGAGCTCTGTGTCCAGTGGGAGTCCCCCAGGTACAGCCTCTAGTCGCCTGTGGGCACAGAGCACTGCCCGGGGCTGGGACGCACAGTCACACACAGTGGGGCAGCTGCCACTGCTCCCTCCAAGCAGGAGGAACAGGAAAAGGAGGGTGTACCATGGGGGCCAGGCCTGCTTCGGAGCTGCGGGTGCCTCCATTCTCCCTTCAGTCCTGGAACAGGTGATGACATGGGCCTTTTTGGAAAACGCTTCAGATGACAGTAACCCTGGACTTCCCTGGTCTTTCTTAGAGGGGAGAGGAATTCATTGGTCTGTTTCAGCATTATCACACATAGGGCACAGAACCAGGAAAAATTCTGATGCGCCACCTTCCTGGAGCTTCCGGGGTCTAACTGGTCAAGTGCTTACTAGCTCATGGAACCCCAGTCACACCTGATTTCTGTGGGGAAAGTTATTAAGGGACTAGGGAAAGGGATCATCCCAGAAGTAATTCTGAGTCTCCTTGTAATAGATTTTTCCCTGTCTGTGAGATCCAGGATACCTCAGGACCCTTCTCCCTGGTATCTGCTCTCCCCACAGTCTCCTTAGTCCCTCTCTACCCACTCTTATTCTCCCATTTTCTATACCATAGCTGTGCCTACAGCTCAGAAAGATCAGAGCTCCCTGTCGTGATTGGAGGGAGGTCTTCACCTGGACTAGTCACCCACCGCTGGGAAGCCTGCAGGCCTCGGCTCTGCTCCTCTCTCTGCCCTCCTTCAGCCTGACTCAGGGCCCGAGCCCTGCACTAACGAGTCCCACTGTCCCCAGAATGCCTGTGGGGACGACAGCAGGGCTCCACATTAGCCATGGCCCAGGAAGCAGGGGCACCTGCTGGGAAGCTGAGAATGTCTCCTAAGAGCCCAAAGGGCAACACTGCTCCCCTACAGATGAGACGGGTGTGTGAGGTACCCAAGGAGGCCATGTTCTGAGTTCTGCTTTTTGGTCCTCAGTCTCATGCTTCTCCTATATCCCTCCTTAATGTTTTTTAGTTTCTAGTCTAGTGTGTGAATCTGAGGGACAGTTCTTGACCCCGTTGACCTGAGCTGCCTGGGTAATTCTCAAGGGACACTTTGTGAACTAGGAAGGCATAGATAAGTGATGAGAGAGACCATCTGAGCAGATGCTTGTCGGGTGGGGAGGAAGGGAGCCCTTGGTTGGCAAAGTAGATGTGCGGGCACAGGCAGGGTACACAGCCTGGCAACTTAAAGTAGGTTCTGGGTACCAGGGTCTGGCAGTATCAGGAAGATGGAGACTATGATTACTGCTGCAAGTCATCTGCCGTGATAGAAAAGAAGGGGTCCTCTACGTGGTGAGAGCCCCTTGACTTACCCCACTTAATGCCAACAGGGGCCCCAAGACAGAGGATGTGTTGGAATTGGCAAAAAATGGCTAAGGAGACAGGAGCAGGAGCCAACAGACGCTCCCTGGAGGCAGCATGCCTGGTTTCCTTCTGAACTGCAGTGCAATCCTTGTCGGCTTTGGGCATTCCAGAGTCAGCCTCTGTGAGCCCTGCAGGCTCAGCTTTCTACTATATGCCCATTTTTTTTTTTTCCATGTGGAGCTTGGGAGAGGCATTTTAAGAGACAGTGATTTCTTCCTCCCTTTTCCTCACTCTACAGCCTCATCTAGAAGGAGCATTCTAACAGCTCTCTGATAGGCACTTTAGAGGATTGTCATAGTTGCAAAACTAAAGAAAGAGGCCAGTAGAGCAGAGGGATGCAGGAAACCGGTCTGAGGCTTGGGGATGAGAAAGAAAAATGTGGGGCAAAGGCTGCTGGCTTTTGCCCTTCTCCTGACCTAGAGGTCTCCATGGCAGGCTAAGGCTTCTTCAGCCAGGGCTGTGTCCCAGCCCTGTCACTCGCTGTGCTGTTCTGTTCTGGGAAGTCCACCTGACAGCTGGCTTTTCATCACTGCTGCTGAGGTTCCTGCTCATCCTTCTGCTCTGCGCTCAGCACAAGTGCAGTGGAGCATGTAACCCAGCTTCCTCCCTTCCTGCTCCTGTGAGTTTCCTCTTGGTCCCCAAAGCCTGCTCAGGGGACTCTGAGGCTAACCCTTTTATTTATAAGGTGGCTGATATAATCGTGAGCTTCCCTTGCCAACCCTCATGCCTATAGGGCTGGCTTCTGGCCACTTTGCAGGAAGAGACAGCTGTTGGAGCCACTTCTTTCTCCCCTTTCAGTGGGGATTCTCGAGGTCATTCCCTCAGGATAAGGAGCTCACTTTCTGTCTCTGTGGCAGTCCAAGACACATTTAAACCAGACACTTAAAACACATCTGATTGAAGGGTAGGACCTGTGGGGGTGGAGGGGACTCCTGGAGGAGAGATTTCTTGAACATCCACACTGACTGTGGGGAAAAACCCTTCTCAGAGGTAGAAGGAGGACTAGGGGGATGGAGGGAGGTCTCTTTAGAGTCCTTCCACTCAGGGGCACTTGGACATTTTAGTTTTCCCATCAAAGTCCTGTGGGATATGGATTGATGGTTGGTTGGTGGGAGTAGGGATGGGGCACAAACCTCCTTGCCTGAGTACGGACACTGGAGAATGTTATGGGAAAAGGCAGATGCAGCTTTGGGACACCGGGTAGGGGCACTTACCAGAGAAGCTGGAAGGTGGCATCAAGTTTGACACTGCAAAATAGCCGGGCGTTGTGGCAGGCGCCTGTAGTCCCAGCTACTCGGGAGGTTGAGGCAAGAGAATCACCTAAGCCCAGGAGTTGCAGGTTGCTGTGAGCTCTGACGCCACGGCACTCTACTGAGGGTGATAAAGTGAGACTCTGTCTCTAAAAAAAAAAAAGTTTGACACTGCATCTGTCCAGGGCTGGGGGCCCTGTCCCGTCTGAGCTGACTCTCTGGCCCCTGGATCCCCCATGTCTCCTCCTGCTGCCTGCCTGCAACTGCTGCTGCTGCGGCTGCTGCCAAGACTGAGGCAGAGGAAAGCGCCAGAAAGCATTTCTCCTCTCTCTCTCTCTCTCTCTCTTTAAACCAGAGGAGAATGAGTCTGCCGCAACCCTGTTGGTGCAAAATAAATAAATAAAGCAACCAGGGAGGGATGCAGCAAGCACCACTACAGGATAGTCAGCGAGGGAGTGGGTCAGAGGGGGCTCGGGTGCCAGGGAGGGGTCTAACGGATCTCTAACATCCCGTGCACTTCAGCCCCACACCGCCCCCCAGCTTGGGCTAGCCGCCTTCTAGGGGATTGTCTTTCGGGGCTTCCAGATGCAGGGCAGTTCTGTGCAGCCTCTAAATCTAAACCTCCTGTGGGCATCATTCATGGGACCGTTCTCAGCACACGGTGCCCCCTTTGGAGCTGAGTTTGGCTCTCCTTCCGTGGGGGTGAGGATCTGTTCACAAACCTCACTGGGGAAGTGCCCAGCCCTGGGAGAACCTAGTGGGGGGTAGAAACTGTGTCATGCCGATGGTTGCTGAGCTGGGAACCTGTCTCCACCCAAGAGTGGGGCTGGAGAGCAGGCGTGTAGGTGACCTTATTTAAGGCTCCCTCACCCCCACAACGTGCAACCTCTTGCCTTTAAAATCATTTTATAAAATAAAAAATGGCACAAATTGGGGTTTATGTTTACTCAGCTAACCCCCTCCCTCCCTATCATTGTCGCTTATCCCTCAGAGGAGGGTTCACAGCTGTTCATAAGGCCAAGAGACACACCGGGTCGAAATCGCAGGGGGGAAGCAGCCTCTCCACACTGGAGCCCCGGTGCCTCCCAGTCGCAGGGGTGCCACAGCACCTGCTTCCCTTCTCTACACAACCGGGGCTGGAGGGCAGGCCAGGAAAGTCCTCCCAGGATCTGTCCTTGACCTTCTGACTGCCCAGTGTCCAGCCATCTCTGCTTTTCTTGGGGCTTCTTGTGGAGAAGATAGCTGCAGCCAAGATGGAGTTTGGGCCACCACAGATCTAAGACTGGTGAACTGAAGCACCATGGAAACCTTCTGGAGTCCCTCAGGATTGGGACTTTTCCCTGAGGCCACTAGGCTTCTCTGAGCTATGACCCCCAGGATGAGAGATCATGTCAGATTAAATGTGTCTGTAGAAGTGCATACTTGCAGCTTGTCTCTGTGTGTGTTTCACCTGTATATGAATGTGTGTCTCTCATCAGGTTTGTTAACTCCTAAAGTCTATTTTTAAAGTGCACATAAGAGGTTTGAGTTCTAACTCTGTCTAGGAGGCCCTTGGCCCTCATTGTACCCTATTCTTACACCTGAATCCCATAAAACAATTATCCCTGGCCCCTCACCCCCCTCCCATCCAGTCTTTTTAGACCCCAGGAAAAGGGCAGGGTGCCTAGACATTTCCTTGGTGAGCTGGGAGAAAGGGGAAAGGCAGGGAGTCCAAAGCTTCAGGTTCATGTTATGTACAGGTCCTTCTGGCTCCAGCCACCAGTGTCTGAGCTTCCCCCCAGCCAAAGCCCATAGGGAAATGCAATGAGGTATTTCAAAGTCCTATTCTTAGCTTCTGAGCCCACAGTTGAGTTCTGTTTATCCAGAGTGTCCTGGATCTCTCCATTTTCTTGAGGACAACTTGGTCCCCCTAGAGGTCCTTGTATCCCATCCGCCCCTGGGAAATGAGACAGAACAAAGCTGAGGCTGGAGACGTGTTCACCCCAACCCTGGCTGTTGTCCCACTGTCAGGCAAGCCTATGAGCAGAAAAGCAGTTTCAGCAGCTGCTCACTCCCAGGGAGCAGACGGGACGCCCTCCTGGGTTTATGACAAAGACAAAGGCTGAAGCTGGGATGGGTCCAGGGAGGGGGCCAGCAGGCTGTAGGGAGAGGAGTCCATCCTTCAGATCACTTGGACAGCCCCTCAGGTGACTCGATTTCAGTGCTGAAGAGTTCCTTGTAGAGTGGGGGGAAAGCGGCTTGCACGGCGATGGGGTGGAGGTGCTGGAAGACGTGCAGCTCCTCCATGTGCTGGCTGCACAGGCTCCGGAGCGTCCCCTTGGGTGGTAGCTGGAGATGGGATAATGGCGAAGGAGGTCAATACTTCATCTCTCTCCCCAGAGCAGAGAGGCCCTCTCATCCTTCCTGGGCTAGGATAAGTCTTCCTCACTCCCCACTGCCCCCCACGCACACACTTGGCCCTTTCAGATTCTCCCAGTCCCACAGGTACAAGCATGCTTCGGGACGCCAGGGTGAAGGAAGCCCACCTGGTTCGGACTGAAGGTGCTCTGGGTGAAACCCCACATCACGTTCCTGCTCCTCCTGAAAGGAACCTTGTCAAATAGACTCACACACTTCATGCTTTTATTCTAGTGAACCTCTGCGACTCTGTCTGCTCCATCCTGTTGCACACCTTCTCCTTTCCCTCACCTGGATGAAAATAGCTCTTGCCTTTCCAGCTGTGGTTGGCTTGGCTAATTCTCACTCACCTTCAAGTATCACCTGTTCTGGGAGTATTTCCCTGACTTCCCTTTTCTTATGGACCCTTCCTTTGCTCTTGTAGCACTTATCGCACTGTGGGAAAAGATCCAATTTGTCTGCCTTCCCACCCAGGTTTAAGCTCCTTAGTGGGTCTCTCTCTCTGTATCTTCTGAACCCATCACAGTGCTTGGCACATGGCAAACAGACTTTCTAAGCAGGTACCCAACACTGCCAGCTCTCAGCCAGAGGGAAATGAAAAAGACACAGACACCCATGAGGAGACAGAGGTGAGGAGGAGACCTCACAGGGAAAGCTGAAAAAAACACTTATCTCCTTCAGTTTCCTATGTAACCACAAGCACCTCACCTCCCTCTCCCTAGCTTAGTGTCCTCAGAGGCTAGGGAAGAGCAGGCCCAGAGCGATCCCTCCATGTCTCCTGGCTCATTCTCTCCATCTCGACTGCTTTATTCTGAGGTTGTCTGGGTTACTACAATAGTTTCATTCATTTGTTCACTCAACAAATACTTGCTGAGAATTTATCTGAATTTGGGCTAGGCCCTGTGATGGGCTCTGGTGATTTATCCTTCAGTAAAATATAGTCTCTATCTTTATCAAATTTACATTCTGGTGAGAGAGCCAGGAAATAAATATATAATATGTCAGTAAGTTCTTCAAAGAAAACTAAAGCAGAGTGGCACCTGTGGCTCAGTGGGTAGGGCGCCGGCCCCATACACCAAGGGTGGTGGGTTCAAACGTGGCCCTGGCCAAACTGCAACAAAAAATAGCCAGGCGTTGTGGCAGGTGCCTTTAGTCCCAGCTACTCAGGGGGCTGAGACAAGAGAATCACCTAAGCCCAGGAGTTAGAGGTTGTTGTGAGCTGTGACATCATAGCACCTACTGAGGGTGACAAAGTGAGACTCTCTCTCTAAAAAAGAAAAGAAAAGAAAACTAAAACAAGGTGAGGGAGAGAGGGCTTTTTGCATGTGAGAGTGAACCTCTCCTGAACTGAAGGGATGGAACAAAACATTTGGAAAAGTTGGGGAAGAGCCTCCAGGGAGCTGTAAGAGCAGGTACAAAACCCTGAGATGCAGCTGGGCTTGATGTGCCCAAGGAACAGCAAGAAAGCCACTATACTTGGAATGGGGGGCAGTGGGAGACCAGGTGAGGAGAAGGCAGGGGTTGGCCATGACACAGACCCTGGACTTGATTCCCAGCATGATAGTCAGCTATAGGAGGGTTTGGAACAGGAGTTGGATGCAATGTGATTGCTCTTTTTTTTTTTTGTTGCGACAGAGCCTCAAGCTGTCCCCCTGGGTAGAGTGCTGTGGCATCCCAGCTCACAGCAACCTCCAACTCCTGGGCTCAAGCAAGTCTCCTGCCTCCGCCTCCCAAGTAGCTGGGACCACAGGTGCCCGCCACAATGCCTGGCTATTTTTTGGTTGCAGCCATCATTCAAACCTGCCACCTTAGGTGTATGTGGCTGGTGCCTTAGCCACTTGAGCCACAGGTGCCGAGCCTGATTGCTCTTTTTAAAAAGGGCTGTGGCAGAAGCCGAGTAGATGCTGTGTGACTGCCGGGGGGGGGGGGGCAAAGGCAGAGTGGAGGAGGCCTGTCCTACAGGCCAAGTGAGAGCTGAGAGCTGGTGGGTGGTAAAAGAGGAAGCGATGTGGAAAGTGGGTCCTACCAGATTTGCTTTCCAATTGCTCTACCCAGCTTCCAGTCTCTCCTTCACAGTTAACCCATAGTAGATTAAAGTCCAAGCTCCTTAGAGCAGAGACTGTTTAAGCCAGGAGTCCTCAGACTTTTTAAATAGGGGGCCAGTTCACTGTCCCTCAGACTGTTGGAGGGCTGGACTGTGGGTTGGCTACTAAGCAGGACAGGCAACGGCGGCAAGAACACCCGGCGGGCTGGATAAATGTCCTAGGTGAGCCGCCTGTGGCCCACGGGCCGTAGTTTGAGGACGCCTGGTTAGGCCATTCCTGTATTCTTAACACCTGGCACATAGCAAAGGCTTACTTGAATGATTACACAAATGGTTTCTTTACTCTGATTCCATAGTAAATTGCCTAAATAACAGTTCTGATTATATCATCTCTGTAGCTTTTGTGGCTCTCCATTTCTAGAAACAAAGCCTTAACTCTTAAATGGCATTGAAAGTCCTCTCTAATCTGCTCTGACCTAATTTTCAGCTTTATCTTCTGTTGCTCTTCTGCCCCTTCAACCCTAGCCCAGCTCCTGATCTTACTCTTTAGTCAGAATGTTCCATGAGTTGTTTTCCAAGTAGGTACAATTTGCCTCCTTATTTTTGCTGGAGTTGTTCTCTAAGCCTGGAAGGCCTACATCACCTCCATAAATGCCTATTAAAATCTTACATCTTTCAGCTTGGTGCCCATAGCTCAAGCAGCTAGAGCACCAGCCACATACATCAGAGCTGGTGGGTTTGAATCC